TTTGTTTGTTTGTTTTCATTCCACTTTCCTACTTTACCGCCTTCAATTTATCAGAATAGACACACGTCTGGTGAAACTGAGGTTCATGACAAAATCATTTCAGGTGTTAAAGATTATCTAGAAAGCCATCTTCAGGGATTCACGGCGAGACGGTGACAGGTCAGCATAGTAGAAGCAGTTCTGCTTCCACTTGCGGGCAAGCCTCCCACACCTTGCGGCTTCACTTTCGCACCCACAGTTCCCCAGGCCCCGGACACCATTTCCGCTGCTCTTGCCCTAGCTCCCGGCCGAGGCGGGGCGCAGAGAGACAGGAAGCGCCGCCCCTGGCCGTCTGGGGCTGCAGCACCTCGGCCGCAGCCCGGCGGCGGCGCGCTCGCCCGGTGCATTCTGGGCATTGTAGTCCGGCCGCAACCTGTTCGCGACCACAAGTCTCGTGACATCGTTTCTCCTCAACCCCAGTCCGCGGTGCCCCTCTCCGGCCCTAAGCGCGGCGATCCTGCGAGTCAGCTGTTTCTCTCCTGGGCACAGAGGCGGAAGCCCGCGGGGCGCGGGGAGGAGCTTCGCGCCTGGGGTGAACGCCAGCCCTACGTGCTCGTTCGCCTGGCGACCGCTGCGCGCGAGCCCCGTGTCCCCGCGGCTGGCAGCAGCGGCGGCGGCGGTGGATCGCGGAGGGGGTGGAGGGAGCGGAGGGAGCCCGCGGCGGCGGCGTCTACAGCGAAATGGCGGAGACCGTGGCGGACACCCGGCGGCTGATCACCAAGCCGCAGAACCTGAATGACGCCTACGGGCCGCCCAGCAACTTCCTCGAGATCGATGTGAGCAACCCGCAGACGGTGGGGGTCGGCCGGGGCCGCTTCACCACCTACGAGATCAGAGTCAAGGTGAGATCGTCTTTCCTCCCCCAAGGGACCCCCACCCCTCCCGCCGGCCCCGGGCAGCCACAGCCGCCCAGGCCGGGAGCCCTCCTGCAGGCGCGGTCGGGCAGTCCTTTCGCGGGCCGGGGTCGTAAGCCAGGGCCCCTCTTCACGTAGGGCTTGTGTGGGAGCTGCAGAGTGAGCCCGGCGCTGGCACTTGGAGAACGGGCAGGAAGAGGAGGGCGTGGGTTGAGCGCCGCTTACTCCTAGAGCGCTGATCTGGGAATGACATTTGAGTTGGAAAGGGGTAGATCTTTCGAGAACACAGCCCTTCATCGGGAAAGGAGTGAGATGTGACTGAGAATGGGGATTTGCGCAAAGTTGAAGTCTTCCCGGTTTTCTTTTCCTGGAGGCTTCCTAGAGGTGGCCAAGCCAGAGTCAAGGTGAGATCGTCTTCCCCCCCCCAAGGGCCCCCCCCCCCTCCCGCCGGCCCCGGGCAGCCACAGCCGCCCAGGCCGGGAGCCCTCCTGCAGGCGCGGTCGGGCAGTCCTTTCGCGGGCCGGGGTCGTAAGCCAGGGCCCCTCTTCACGTAGGGCTTGTGTGGGAGCTGCAGAGTGAGCCCGGCGCTGGCACTTGGAGAACGGGCAGGAAGAGGAGGGCGTGGGTTGAGCGCCGCTTACTCCTAGAGCGCTGATCTGGGAATGACATTTGAGTTGGAAAGGGGTAGATCTTTCGAGAACACAGCCCTTCATCGGGAAAGGAGTGAGATGTGACTGAGAATGGGGATTTGCGCAAAGTTGAAGTCTTCCCGGTTTTCTTTTCCTGGAGGCTTCCTAGAGGTGGCCAAGCCAACTTGGTGGTTGTTCCAGGTCTTTCCCGAGCTACCAAACTAACCTAGGTTGTACATTCTTTTGAACTTAATGGGAGTTAACAAAAGCCTGACAAATTTTTGATAGGGCTGAGCCAGGAATGAAGGGTGTTTGGAAATGGTTGACCTTAGAATTCTGGGCCACTGTCGAGCTAAAAGCTGAGGTGTAGGGAGTGTCTCTTACCTCACAATCTAGAACTTCAACTGCTGTAGGAAAAGCCTATTCATTTAGGGATCTTGCTCTCTTAATTTCGAGATTTGCACTCACTGAATAAGGAATCAGCTGAAGTAGAAACACTTATAATTTCATAAATAGTATTTGTTGGCAGTAAGTGATTCAGATGATTTGGAAGATGCTAATTGAGAATAGCGCTTCACTTTCACTCTGTAGTTCAGGATTAAAGAATTTGCCCATGTATGAAGGTATCTTTAAAAATTAACTACATAAAACTAATCTAGCTGTTAAAGACAACAACAACAAATTTACTTTATTGAAAGTTAAGCATAAGATGATCGTGGCTTTAGAGTAAATCAAAACTTACATAACAGGTTACTACTAACATTTAAGTAGAGTAATTTCTCCACTTATGCAGTTTTGTGCGTGGTAAAAAAACACTGTCCTAGCCATTTTTAAGTGTACAGTTTAATAGTATATTCACGTTGTCGTGAAATTTAGGCACTTTATAAAAATGATTCTTAGATCGTTAGTATTGCTAAAAAAAAGTTAATAATCATCAAACTTTAGTTTAAGGTATGAAACTGTTAAACTGTTTAATGTTACAAGCCACCTGTATCTCCCTATGGATGTGTAAAAGGTGAGCCATAAACTGTCTTGTTATAGTGAAACTGCAGAATCCGGGCTCCAGTAGACCTAAGGAAGTACAGTTCTCACGTTAAGCCTAGTGAAAAAGTGATTTTTTTTTTTTAACTTTTGGAGTGATTTTGGATTGTCTTTACTATGTGGCAGATTGTTCACTGAAAAAAAACTTCCTCTTTTGCCCTTATTCACCAGTGTGTTTTCCATTTTTTCTTATGCTAAAACAGAACTTGGTATTCCTGTTTCTAAACTTCCATAGCAAGTACTTCCTGTCACACAATAGAATTAGAATCTCCTGCCTACACTTCCTCCACTTAATAACTTTGTGTTTATCTTGCTGAGTGCATTATATTAAGTGGATTCTAATATACTAATTTAATCCTTTTCTAAATGCATCTAATACCTTATTACTGAGTAGCTGATATGACACTGAAAAATAAATTGTTTTTGGTATGGTTATTTACATGTTAAAGTAATCTTTTAGAATGATTGAGTTAGGGAATTAACAAGTTATACACCTACTCTGGTTTGTATTTTTATATAAACCAGCTCATTGTGTGTTAATGACTGTTATGGTCATACATGCAGATGCCCATAGGAAAACAGAGTTGAGTTTTTAATGCTTATGAAATGCCATTATGTTTCCCTTAATATGTAACGTGTTAACTTAAAACACAGGACACCATATAGTAAGACATTAGGCCTTATGTAAGCAGTCTATGATTTTTTTTTAGAGTAGTAGAAGTCTTGTATCAAGGTAGAATGGCCATGAGATGAATAGTTAATTATTTTGTAAAATTTTTTTTGGCAGCTGGCCAGTACAGGGGTCAAACCCTGGATCTTGGTGTTACCAGCACCATACTCTAACCAACTAAGCAAACTGGCCAGCCCATTTTGTAATTTTATTTATTACTTTTCTAAGCTGTTGCTACTCTCCCTAGCCCCTGTTGCCTACCTTTTGCTGTTGAATTTGCCATGTGAAAAACCATTTTATGTTCCACAGTTTGGGCCCTTTAACTTTTCGTTATTCTCTAATTTTGGTCTTGAGAAAATGTTCAATTTCACAGGATCTGATTGAAATTACTCTAATTCACAGGGTAATTTTATCTGGATGGTGGCACTTTAGAATGCAAGTTTCCCAATCTCCATTTATCTTCTGGTTTGAGGATAGTGTTTAAGATTATTAGGATCACTTGATTAGTATCTCTGGGCTTTTGAAAATAATTGGCACAGTGTTAATGTTTTTAAAAATTGTTCTAATGGGTAGGTACAGCAGAGAACACCATAAATGATTAAAGGCTTAGGAAAGCTCAGGGTGTAGAATTATTTGGACATATTAAAGAGAAGGCTGAAAGGGAAATTCAGTCACTG